ACTAAAGATAATAGTTGAATGATCTATCAGAGAGGCACTAGTACAACGAATGCTACTTTACGTGCTTGACTACCAGTTATTTCTTGAGGACAGTTTCCATCTGTACTTGTGCAAGTCTCTGACCTATCGTTCTAACTGATTTATCTTATGATGCATACCGGTCACAGCATAAATCAGAAAAGAAGCATATAAGAAATTTCTTTGGGCACCTAGTGCTTAAGCATAGATTAGTAAAAAGGATATCTCTATAAAAAAATATAGTTAGTGTGAATGAGCAGATCTCTTTAGCGTTCTACTTCGAAATTGTGACAGTTCGAGATTTGAACATTAATTTCAAAGAAAAATTCTATTATCCATAACTTGATATTCACCTTTTAAGATCGTACATTAGTGGACTTACGTTAGTTATATTAATTTTCTTTGTTTCATCATCACATTTTTATTTTTATTTTGTATAAATAGATTAGATTAACTGGTATATGAAGAAAAACAATTACGTTCAATGTAAGACTGATTATTTAAAGAAAAAACATTTAGCATCAGCACATTAGGTAACATCAGAACAACAATTAATTGAATTAAGACACAAAATTGAACAAGAACATTTAACAAAATACACATGAACGTTATCTTAAACATTCTCTACAACAAACAGTCGAAAAACTCGCATCACAAAATCTTGAACGTTTTTATTAAGTTTTAGATAAAATAATAATGACATATCGTACACTAAAAATGAAATAATAAAATAAGATTCTTTATCATCTTTGTTGAATAATATATCGTGATTCGAATATTGATGCTATTGAAGTACGTTCTGATGATAATGAACAAAATGCACATAAAACTCGTCCAACATATAATTATCGTCTTGTTATGATTATATTTGGTTCAATTATTTATATGAAAAATGGTTTTAGTGATAGTGAAAAAGTTTTGTTCTTCACGTATTACTCGATTTCCATTAACTGAAACATATTCTCTTAATTGCGGTATCCTTGATTTTGATGAACCAACAAATAATCTTGATTTTGAATATATCGATTTCATCATTCATTTGAAATTCTGGAAGAATTTTCTTTTTTTTTTAGATGTTACAGAATAAATACATTTATCTTGTCGAAATAAAACTTGTTTAGTTTAAAATTGCTAAGTTGCGCAAGCGTGTAAATTTTCAATTAATTATAATATAAGATACAATGAAGATTTTGTTGATTCACTTGGTAAATCTGCATATGCAGAGATATGTTATCGTGTATCAAAAACAAATAAGAATGTTTTATCATTGATTATATATTACCAATTATATTACTTTCATGTTTGTAGTCGTGGTCTATCGATAATGGATGTTTGTTATATTACATGATTTTTTGCTCATTAATTATATTGTTTGATAATATAGTAACTGTGTATTATAAAATTTAGTCAATATTTTTTTTATAAAAGAAAATGACGAACTAATAAAAATAAAGTTTTTATTTGATAATATATTATCATCCCGTTTTGTTTACTAAACTAAATTAAAATAGATATTTAATAAAAATACTTTTCTATAATTAATCATTATTAAAAATAGGTTTATCATAGTATTATATTTCATTGATTTTCATTTGAAAGTAATTAAAAAGAATGTTATATTTATCATTGTAAATTATAACACTTTTACTTTTATGATGGCAAGACGCGTGTCTTTCACCTGAATTTATGTGAATGTATATGAACTTTTATATTGAATAAAAATGATTAATGGTCATTGAGTACAAAATTAGTTATTAATTATCCATGAAGAAAAATAAAAAAAGATATTGCTCCCTTATAATGTTAACGAAGACATTGATCTTCCTGAAGAATCTATTCAGACAAGACTTTCAACGATATGAATCTTATGTTAATTTAAATATATCTATCATATAATTTAGTAATATTTTATATATAGAATTACCAGTTGAAGAAAGAAAATCATTGTGAAAACTAATAGTTTTTTTTATACTGTGGGTATTATTTGAAATGAATTAAGAACAAAATGCAGGAAGTGCTTTTGAAGCATTTAAAGAATATAAACTAGAAATAGCTCAAGTTATTCGACAAAGTCGACTAGGACATACTCAATGAATTAAAGCTCGAGACCTTCTATCAGGAGATACTGTTGAAGTAGCTGTTGAAAATAAAGTTCCAGCTGACGTTCGTATAACAAGAATTTATTCAACAACATTTCGTGCTGATCAATCATTAATAACTGATAAAAGTGTTTCGGTTATTAAACATACAAATAAAATAGTTGATATAGGTGCTATCAATCAAAATAAGAAAAATATTCTTTTGTTAGGTGGTGATATCATCTTTCTTTCCTTTCTATACGTTACATACATATGGCATTTCTTCTGTCACACGCTTTCGTCATTTCTCTTTCTGTTCTCTAACTAGGTGTTTTCCTATATTATCCACTGTTAGTGCTCGCTGGAATCTTTCACTTATATCTTGCATGGATAATCCAAATTTAATCTACTATTCATCACTATATAGATATGTGATTTTCTATAATAAAGACGGATTAAGTGATAGGGCGAAATCATCTTTCGACAGATATATTAAATACAATAAAGAATTTACAGCATAACACATTTTTCCGCATTGATATTCAATTTCTAAATATAGAAGTATTCTTATTGGAACTGGTTTAAATACTGAAATTGGTAAGGAATAATTTCATTATTTAAATTAGTTTATTTTGTGACATACGGTCTAAAAGGAGTGTTCAAACAAATGGATAAAAACTTGAACATCCACTTTGTGCCACAGATCGAGTATCAATAAATTCTCATTGTCATATATGAAATACTTTTTTATTGAATTTTTAGGAAATTAAATAACATAATGATGAAGAAATGTGTCACAAAACAGATAGAATAAAACAATTATCTTATGGTTAAGGGCAAGAGCTAAGTCGTCTTGTACATTTTTATCCCTCAGATATTCTACTATTGACTTTTCTATAGATCATTATTAAGAAGAATGAGTAATAAAGTATTTTTTGAAAGCAATGTGCAAAATTAGGACTTTAATAATATAATCAGGAGATGGTGAGTGGTAGAACAATATCTTGAGGGTTTGGGTGTGGGTGGGTGTGGATGTGGGTGTGAGGTGTGGGGTAGGAGTGGGTGTGGGTGGGTGGGTGTGAAAGCATTTCTAACAATACGTACACGCACACCCACCACCGAAATATCCTGCTAACATATACATCTCAAACAAAAGCAAACACATATCGTTTTAGTAAAACCGGACTCACCGCTATATTTTTCCATTCTATGGTAATCTTGATATATAAATATCTATGCGCGTATTCCACTACTCATTACAGTGGAAACGTTAACTAGGAATGCAGGGTATGGGTGGGCGTAGTTGTATGAGGAGAAAAAGACGCATTCACACCCACACCCACCCGCACTCACACGCACAGCCATCCACATCCACCCACACCCACACCCTTATGCCAACATCGCTTCCTCAAGTTCATTGTCAGAATGTCAACAAAAATTTTGGATGTGGAAATCCAACATTGATTCTTGGAACAATATCCAGCCAGACGAATGGAAGCAATATTCGGATCTTGAAAATGGCATGATCGCAACGGCATACACGCAATAAAGGAATGAAGCCGAATTGGATGATTATTGGATTAATTTCAAGCGTCAAATCTAAATAAACAAAAAAAATTCAAGTAAAAAGGGTCGATTAAACAAATGACAATCCTGGCAAGCGAAAGTTATGTTAGGGAAGAACGGTTTATGATTGAACAGCCGAAACTCACTCCAAAATCAGTCAGCACGACTCCCGCTTGGTTTCTTGTAGCAGGTGGGCTTAGTAGCGGCAAAACAATTTCCAATGAGCTGGTTGAAGAGCAGCTAGTGGCATTGAAGAGGAAGGTGAAAAATTGGGGAAGAAAAAAGAAGCCGAATTTATTGCAAATGAATTGAGAAAGTAAAAAACAAATCAGAAAAAGAAATTCTTGAATGTACTGTTCATTTGTATACACTTCAAAGTTTCTTGTACAAACTGATCAACAAAGTTTTGAGAGAAACCGAAATAGATGATAACTACGAGTTTGTGTCAGAAAAAGATAAAAGTTATGGACGCACATTTGGACCATTTTTTCTGTCTATTACAAACCTATTTTTCGACCCAAACAGTCTTCGTCGAGAAAAAATTTCTGTATTTCGAAGCGCCAACTTGACAAACGAAATGATTGAAGATTACACAAAATATGCTGGCAATATTCCATCTAACCGCGTGACATGGTCGAGATTTTCAAGCACAACAAACACCAAAGAGAAAACGTTAGAATTTCCTGGAAACATTTTATTTCGAATACAACTTACTCAGTATGGATATAATGCTGGAATCTCATCATTGTCAGTATACTCATATGAAGAATAAGCTTTGTTAACCAGTGCATCTACTGTCTTAATAGAGGGTGGGATATGGGCGTAGATCAGGATTAGGAAAACGCTCACACTCACACCCACACCCCATCCACACATACTCCCCGC